CCATTTCGCGAACTCCTCCAGACTTTGCAAAGCGAGCCAGCTACAAAGCTTCTCTCGTTTTGCCAAGTCCGACCTCCTAGCTTCTCCAAGTAAAGCTGGGGAAACCTAAAGCAAGGGGAGTGAGGGACTCCAACCCATCGGGACTTGTGCTAAGGCTCACAACAAATGAGAGACACTTGGCTCTACGGAGGGAGTTTGGTTACGCACAGGAAATCCTAACCTAAATGCTAGCTCTAGGAAATTGACGATCCATCACGCAGGCACGTCGTCGCGCCGACCCATGCCGGCGCACGCACCCCGTGTGGGCGATCGAACCCACACGCCTAGACACCACTAAACCTAAGGCTAGCTAGAAGTTTAGGGGATCTCACCATCGCGAAGGTTGCAGACGCGTTCTCTTTATTTGCTCCAAGCCGTCGACGTCCAGTCCGTGCTCCAGTGCATCCCACAATGAATCATGCAACGAGGAGAATAAAAAATAGGAAGCAGGGAGATATGCGAAGTACCGAAAAATAAATAATTTAGCATATAAAAATATGCGACATTAAAAAAAGGTACCTTCTCGAGAGCGGATCGCTCGACGACAGTGAATAAGGGGAACCCACAAGGTAAAATACGCACGTGCCTCCTCGAACAGTGGCAACGCTCGCTGTCCGGCGAGGTGACGGATGTTAATTTTTCGACGGTGAATGCTAAAAGCGGAGGAGGCGCAGGAGAAAGCCCCAAAAAAATTGACGTATTTCTTCGTCGTTTTACTCCGACGAAACACAACACCGGCAAGGTGAAAGCCGGCGGGGTGAAGAAAATTCATCGAGGTTGACGGGGTTGACGGAGTTGGCCGAGAAAAAGAAAAAAGAAGAAGAAAAAGAAGAAATAAAAAAAAGAAGAAAAATTAGAAGAGGAAAAAGAAGAAGAAGAAGAAATATGAGAAGAAGAAGAAAAAGAAAGAAAAAAAAATAATAATAATAAATAAAATAAAATAAAATAAATAAAAATAAAAATAAAAAATTCAGAAGAAGAAGAAGAAGAAGAAGAAGAAGAAGATGAGGATGATGATGAAGAAGAAGAAATAGAAAAAGAAGAAGGAGGAGAGGTTGGCTGTGAGGAGATGCGGAGAATAGAGAAGGGATGTCGGAGACGGCGGCGCCGAGTTTCGCCGGCGACGAGGAGTCACCGGCGAGGTCGAGTGGGAGCCAAGAAGATCGGGGAGGAGTAGCGATAATGGGAGAGCGGGTAAGAATCGCCTGAGGGAAGGGAGAGGAGCGTAACTCTTTTTTTTTTTTTAATCGCC